ATGATGAATGGTGATTTGTAGAATTGGAGCTTTTTGCAACCACCTTGTTGTGCATGGCGAGTCAAAGCTAGATTTCATTTACGTGTTGTGACTTGCGTTGTTGTGTGCGCATTGAGAATGAACAGAGCAGTTGACGGCGTCAAGCGTACTTGAGAATGTTGCCTGAACTGGAGATTATGATCGATGATGCGAAGGCACCTCCGTAAGGTCGATTTCATCTACTTATGGCATTGTATACACTGTATTTACCCTGTATTAGTAGGCACTCCCTATTAGTATCCACCCCAAAATCTCAACAGAAACGAGCTCGAGAGGCCTCGTTGAATTCGCCTTGGGGAGAGAAAGCTAGTTTTCATGTCTTTGTTTCCACAACACTCTTCTTGCACGACCTCAACGTGCAACAACTGCCAAAAAGCTGCTCGTCCTGTGGTGCGATGCATGTGGTGGCTGCAAGCCTCACAGCTGGAGCAGCTGATCTGATAGGAAAAATTTCTATTTGCTTGTCGGGCGACTGCAGCCCTTGCGTCTATGGCACAGTTGCTGGCCTAGAGTCGCCAGCAGACCTGGCGGCCCTGCTTGTTTATGTAACAATTCTCACCAAGGCGCTCGCCTCTGGCAGTCACACTGGATCCCACGGCACCCCGTTGCACAACAACTATTGTAAAGTGCTTCCAACCACTTCAACTACGCGCAGCATAGCCTGTCAGCCACATACGCATGGGCCTGCCATGCACCATGGGGTCTTCTTCGACATTTCCTAGCTGTTGGGGGAATAGGATGGTTGTTTTTGGTAGCGCCGGACCGCGCCTGGTGACATGCATGCCACACGACCAGCCGTAACCCCTGGCGCTTCTCACAACCAGTTTCCACACACTCTCCGCCAGGCTCGCCCAAGCTTGCCTTTGGCTTGTCCGGAGGTGCCCCAATCGTGCCACACAGTAGGGCAGCCGTCCACCTGAACATGCTGGCATCTCCCGTCCAAATTGTTGATGACCGGGGAAGATGTTGATGAGGATGTTGAAGGCTTTGCACCAGATATGGATGTGGACAGCGATTGATCGTGAATGCGTTTCTGTGTTTCTGTTTGGGATTTTGTGGTGGCAACAGCATTGTCGCTTACAGTATGGAGCTGCCAATAATGTGGTGTCTGTGATTTTGTAAATTTGATTGGGTAATGTCGCTACCTATTGTTCGAGTGCCATGATGTTACAAACAGCTGACAAGCACCACTTGGGGATGCTTACACTTAGAAACAGCTCTATGACTCAACTATCAGCCATAAGAGCTCAATGAGAGTCACTAAAGACACCGCCACTATCACAGCCCTATCAATCGCCCAGAATTTCTGAGCATTCCGCTCCAGCACTTTTACCAACTTAGCTCATAGACACTCACAAGACAATGAGAATCACAACATCCAGTAAATTCAAGCCCAACAGGACAATTGGGGTGTGGTCGAGCGCTGCCGAAGCGAGGCGCAACCCCAGTGCTGAACTTCGTATTGAACTTCACCTTATCCGTTCGCATACGACGAGAAACATGCAATGGCTGATCAGCTTGGAACGAGGCACAAGAAACCACGCTCAGACTGTGAAACAACACTCCACACCTCGCTCAGTAGCTCACTATAGCGAGCGTACTGACCAATCTCCAGATGTCGCAAACCATTGTCGTCGATGCTCGTTCCTTACGGTCCAGCGCTGCACTCCAATCACTCGCCGAGCAGCGGACGATGAAGGCACGTCGTTGAGTCGACGAAGACAGCGCCCAACGTGAGCGCACGCGGGTCAGTCGGTCAATGAAACGGGGGATAAGCTCGACGACGAGCTGTGGGTATGTGCAGCGGTGCACAACCCAAAAGGCAATTGACCCAGAGGGTCAGGAGGCAAAGGCGCACAGAAATGAACGTGCTTGTTACAAATCCGTTCTCCTTCGACCACGTTCAACCTCCACACGTTCACAACAAGACTGATCTCAACAGAACACCAGCCGTTCAGACCGCTAGAGCCAAGAACGGACGGGTGGGGGGCGGAGAGAGAGAGGAGAGGAACTCACAACCCAACCTCCGCCTCCTAAATACCACTAAAAGCTCCAACAGCACTACACTTCAGCGGCCCTCGGATAATCAAATAGACACATCAAGAAAAAGGCCCCAATACCCCTTGTACTTCTCAGAACTTCCCACTCACATTCTCCAAGTTGACCCTTTCAATAGGGTCACACAATACAACCAAAAAAAGTCACTTTTGAACACTACAATGTGAATCAACAACCGTCAGTGCCCCTTGGCAGCACTCCCATCAAGATATATTGTTGTACATCATCTTCCCACTCACGCTGCGAGGAACTAAGTGTTGTAGGTTCCTGAAACATCAAATTAGGGGGAATCCCCCTATTCAAACAAAAAATACATCTAATGCATTTCTCATCCCAATTACACCCATCACACCCCACAGTTCCGTAGTAGGTAGTGTCCCCCGGCTGTCTAACCCATTCTACCTCATTTTCCCCCATGTACGACATACGTGCCCTCAGGTGTACCCCCTGCATCATCCAGCTTCCTTCCGGGCCTGGCAGCTCCACCTCCCATTCAGCTGTTACGTAACTCTTCCATCTTGATGCGGCAACCACCCTCCAGTACGCCCGGGTGGCGCGCTCCACCATTCCCAGCGGCAGCCCCCCGTCTCCCTTGGCAAGGCCGCCCACACACCCCTCTCCGGCCCACGTGAATGGCGCGGGTGGGCTGTCCGGGCCGTCGCGCTCGGCAGCCATCCAAGCATCTCGTTCGGAGATGCTCCAAACGCCCTCGCCGCGCCAATTCGCGGCATAGACGCTCTGCCGGAGCCGATCGCCCAACCGGACGTTGGGGATCGCCACGACCCAGTAGACTTGGACGGCAAACACTTGGTCGTTCCGGTGCCTTACTCGCCACCGAGTCATGGCATCAAAAGCTGAGTGGAGCCAAAAGTGGGGCGTTCTGGGGCCGGAGGCCATGGCCCATGCCTCCGCTCCACCGAGCCCATTGCAGCACGCGAGCACGACTTTGCCCGCTTCGTCCGGGCCGACCAAAGGCTCGCCCGGGCCCCTTCGTCCCTGCGTCCACGGATCCACAAATATCCCCGGAAGGAGAGAAAGCACCGCTCCGCCATGTAGCATGGCGGAACCGGAGGGTCCGCCCACACCAAACGCGAGCGCGTTCAACCCGCTTGCCGAACGTGGGGATGCTCCGGCTATGGCGAGGGAGGGCTTCCGACGGTCCCTGTACGGTCGGGGAGGCTGGGGTGTTGCGGCGCGCCGAGCAGACCGGGCACAGCGGGCGTAGGCGGGGCGCAGGCGCAACCCGCGCGGACCAGATGCAGGAGGGCGCGGTCACGTCCGACATACGGTACATTACACGAAATGTCAACAGGGTGGTCTCCCGTACGGGTGCAAAACCACAAAGTACTGTTGGCAGCCGCACACAACGTCCCATCACGCCTCACTGGACCCCTATACCCTGCCAGTACTTGTCCTGTCAAGGTCCTAGGAACTTTTGCAAAAGTTCAGGTTCATTGAAGGACAACCCCTACGGTCAATGGTCCCCTCAAAATGGACCAGAATTTGGCCTTTTCTTCTGCGAAAATCACTCAAAAGCTCCTTACAAACAGGCCAGCCTCTCATTCAGGGACCCTCACCACATGCCCTGCACACACTGTGCCTCTTTGTCCCCGGCTCATAGTACTGGAAAATCTACCATAATCGCATACTAAACCCAATTCTGTACACCCAAATTCCATCACTGACAAACTGTATTGTATCCGTCAGCATGCGGGTCCAGCTGACTAGTTTTCGCCCTTTTCCTTGACCAGTTCACATCCCAGTCACAGCCGTCCGTGCTGCCCGTAGAGTCCTCTTCAATTGACTTCATTGTTGATCATTCTGGACGGTTCTGTTGAGTGACAATGCAAAACAGCGAGATGGAGGATGTCTCAACTGTAAATGCATCGATTCATGTGCACTGGAGAGAAGCTCAGCGTGCACACGTTAGCCTTGAGCATTCAGCAGCTGCAGGACCGCCAAATGTAACTGTATGTCATGCGGTTCAAGGTAGCTTCTGCTGAGCACATTGGCCTTTCCTTTCTCTACGGTTTTCTCTCGATTACAGTGGTGGCCATTTACTTGAGCAGATTGGACTGTAATCGAACACTATGCATCGCATCTTGCATTATTTCAAACGCTCCTTTGTGCATTTCAATGGCTATTTTAAAATTTTCTCTGTGCAATCCTTGGATCAGGGGGTCTAAGCCTCGTTACTATCCATGACCCACTATTAGTATCCACTGCCCATTCTGAGGGTCCAATACACGCCTACTAATACCGGGTAAATACGGTAGCTAGTGCGGATGTGGAGACCACAGCAGAACTTTATTAGTCGACATTATTTTGCCGAAGTGGTTTCATGCATACTGTCAATGGAGCAATGCGTGACATCTGCCACTTGTACGGTGGGCGTTCTTTCCAGACTCTCCACAGCACACAAGGGAAACTCACTTGTGACTGCAGCAACACCGTCATTGCTCCTGCGGTTCGCCTGTTGGACATGTGCCCGGCCTTGCAAACGCCCTCTCCAAGAAACCAGTTGGCATAGTGCGCATGGTCTGCTTTAGGAAAGGTAAACACGAGTAGAAGCCAGGGACAACATACAACCGTCACACAACCGCAGGAGCAATTGGCTCAGCATGCAAACTGGTGAAAATGAGAATCTGTTTGCACAATAGCCACTTGGCGAGCGGCCTCCAGCAATCAAACAAGATACAAGTCATCCCGACCACATATTCAATTCTGCATGAGCTCCTACTAAGAATATTGTACACCTTCACCCCAACGCCTGCTCTAAGCAGCTTAATAATGAGAACAAACCAACTCTGTGGCGCTCTAACACAAGTAAACTGCTGGCGCTGCATTGTCCCCCTGACTTCCCCATTAGGATGGGCACCATGCGTTCGTTGTGATGCTGGCCTCTACCCTCGATACGAACGCTTTGCAGCCCATTCAAAATGATTGCACCTACCCTTGGGTCTATGGCCTTCAGGCCTAGCACAAACGAAGAACAAACGACCCTTGTTTGCGCACTGCTTCTTGACCTCCCGTATCACACAGGGTTCCCCATGACCCTGGCACCTAGGAGGTTGCAGCATTCGATTTATTCGTTCCCAAGCTGCTACGGATTCGGCTCTCTTAATCCATTCCTCAGGAAGATTCGAGCTATCTCTCACCGGGGAACCTCTCAGGTGAGCAGGACAATGGCTTGGAGATGCTGCTTTTGCAGATGTACCCTTTTGCAGCTCTGTGCCTTTGTTTTGCAAGCCTGGCTGCTCTTTAGCATCATCACTGGGTTTGGGAAGACGATCTTTCCCTGTGCTAGTAATCCTGGGGGTCCCCTCTTTCACCAATGGCTTCGCGTTAAAAAACTCTCGCACATCTCGTTGTTCACGTCTCTTTTTGGCTGGCACTGCAGTGCCTAAGATGCTGTGCCCCATGGTCCTCTTAACTGCAGCCTCACTCTTCCCTGAACCCTGTCCTCTCCCACAGGCATCATTGCACCCAATCATGTCTTGACAATCTCTGCCATCAACAGTTGCACCAGCTGGTTTGTCACGCCTTGGCGCTGCGCACACTCTTGAGTCCTCTGCCTGCCTCTGAGCTGCCCCTTTCTGCACATTGCAAGCACCGAGCCACGAGTCCAGCTGCCTTTGCTTCGCAGCAAACAGGGCCCTTGAGCTCACAGCAGGGGGTGGGATAGTCAAGCGACAGGAGAGTGGCTGAAGCAGCTCCATGTCAACAAACACTGGGGCATGATCAGACCCCTCCATCTCCGGCCAGATGTCACAATGCACTAAGCGCTCAATGAAGCTTGCCTCCCCCACTCCCTGGGCTGCCAGAATCATGTCAATCCTTGATCCATAGTTGTTAGCGCGCGCCCCTGTCATGGTGCACCAGCATGTATAGGCATCTTTCCTGGAAGGATGCAACCTCCTGAAGACATCTACAAAAGTGCCGCCACCTGTGCCACTGCCCGTGCCACTGCTTGTGCCATCCCCCCCAGATTTCAAGAAACGAAAAAGCTTCCTCCGGTCAGGGCGGGTACGTAATGAATTGCCATCTTCTGACCTGTGGACAGTGACGATTGTCTTTTCTGACGGACAAGAAGCACTCCACACAACGGGCACCACTTCCAGGAAAGAATATCTGAGAGGCCTTTCCCACAGTCAAAGATGTGAAAGAAATGTCAGACAGTAGCAGACACAGTACACAACATGCAGCACAAATAGCAATATGTGAGTTGCAGGAAAAGGTGCATCAAGAATGACCTGTGGACTGTATCCTCTGGATGGAGGCTGACATTGAAGTCCCCAACGATGACCACGTTTCGGCCATGCTGCACCAGGGAAGCGGCCCTTTGATGGAGGGCCTCATACCACTGGACTTTGAATTCCATCCTTTGTTCCATATTTTCTGTGGATGTGATGGCAGGTGCGTAGATATTCAGCAGGACGAATTGCCCATGGTCAGTCATCACGCAGCGGCCCTCACTGTCAAGGGCGTCCAGCTCGCCAGGCAGGAGGTCATCCAGGTCATCACAATCTTGCCATCCTGACCCCACAAATACAAGGTATCCGTAAGGCGAAATCTATTGCCTAATTGTTGCAACTGAGAACACCACTGCTTCTTGTCCAACAAACCCACAAGCAAAGCTGGATGCACCACCAAGAATTTCAGCCTCCTGCTGTGGTGTTTTGCTTATATTGGAACAACTGATCTCCCTTCTCAGCCTCCGCATTGGCTTCAATGGGATGCACCATGTTGCATTTGGTTGTACTGTATTCAGGACATATGCACGTTTCCTGAGCTGCATGCCAATGCAACAACAATGCTACACAGGTGCAGGGTACAAAACACAAGCCAATGCAAAATCCCAATACGTAGTCTGACTCAGCAGTGCTTGCCAGCAATATGAGGCATGGCTGACTAGGTAGACCTCATTTCAAAGACATCCAAACACATTCTTGGTTTTGTCACACTGGAAAGCAGTTGCACTACTGTGATAGGCATGTTGTAAACTTGGGCAATCAAATGCACTGCATATTTCCTTCGTATGGGTGACTTGCTGATGCTCTTTGAGGGGGAACTATACCCAGTGCTACCACAGCATTGTCCGTTGCCATTTCAAGACGATGTGCCGCAGAGCGTTTGCAGCAATCCATTCATGCCACCCCAGGAACGCACATATCACACCCAGTTGGACTTGCAGCATCGCGAGTAGCTGGAACAAAGGGGCGTGGGGTGTGTGGCATGCTCAATCGGTTTAATGCCAATGCTGTCTGTCATGCCTTTGCAAATGCCATCCCAGACACATCTCCATCCCCTTCCCATCCCCTACTCGACATCCAGGCCCCGCCTTGCACGCGCAAAGACTTCCTTCTGTCCCTCTTCCACAAGCGCTTCCAAAGACCTCAGATCCCCCTCATTCGCGGAAAGGGCCAGCACTCCTCCCGGCACTGGGCCAAAATGCACCACATTTCACCCCATGTTTGTTTTGCGCATTCGCAGTTGGCCGCACTTCGCCCCATGCGCTAAAATGCACCGGCCGCGAGGTCGCGCACCGCGCCCACCCACCCGCGAACCCGCCGGCGGCCGCCGAAGGGACTGTGGCGCCCCTCCGGCAGAACGTCGCCACGCCCGAGTAGCCGCTGCGCGACCGCGAGAACGCAAAGTAGGACTCCCAGTCAGGCACCACCGCCAGGTCGTGGTCCAGCTCCGACCGCGTGAGCTTGGTCTCCTGCAGGCACACCACGTCGCAGCGCTCCAGGGCCTCCAGCACCCGGCGGACGCCGCCAAACTTGGAGGATATCGCCCGCAGGCCGTTGACGTTCCAGGTGACGATCCTGAGCGGCATCGGTCCGCTGGCCGGGTGTGTGTGTGTGGGGGAGGGGGGGGGACGGCGGCGCGGTTCCTGCCCGGCGCCCTTTGGGGTGCCTCAGGGAGGAGGAACGGCGCGGGCGAGACGCAGAGGCGGGAAGTGCTGGAGGTCATCCTGACAGTGCATCCACCGGTAATTCAACATAATTAGGTTTAGTTCAATTCGATTTAGTCTATTCTGGCTTCAGAATTTAGTTTGGTTGTTGAATTTGTTTTATTCGCTTTGCTCCATTTAGGGCAGGTAGTATGTCGATTTTGGTACGCTTAGCTTCAAATTGACGCTAGGGGGGGGGCCAGACCTGTGACGTTAAGAGATTATTGTTCGGGTCGCCAATAAATGGGGCTCATCAAAAAGTTGGTAAATTAATGATATCATTCAGCTGGCGACCCGTGGGGTCCAGATATGGCGCAGAGGGCATGTCGACAGCCTCAGAACCTTCGCCATACTGATGATCATCCAATAGGTTGGCGCTCAACATGGCAGAAACCCCAAAACATCAATCAAGGGTGTGTTCGCAACATCTCATAACGACCACCGTTTCATTGGGTGGATCACTTATGCATTATGGTGTGCGACTTGTACATATTAGCACATTATCACTGAGTGTATGGGCACCTTTGACATATGTTTTATAAAGTAGGTCGCATTGTGGCGATGCGTAGGCGTATCTGAAGTGTTGTATGGTTGGTTGTTGATATATGATAGTCGTTGTCATGTCAAAAGTGTAGTGACTGGACACCGTACTGTACATTGGCGGGTAATTAGATGACTTAAATGAGTTAGATGTGTTCATCTGAGTCTAGAAATGTGTTAATCATGATCGCCACGTTCATCTTGTTAAATGGGCCAATTTTCGGTATAATGAGGTAATTAAGGCAATTTAGGCCATTTAGACCATTTCTGGCCATTTGGGGCATTATTCCTTGATGGAACCGGTGTGATGATGAACATTATAGCCTATTATGATGTGGTGCGCGGTCATGGGCGGATGGGAGCTGCCAGGAAGTGGTGGAGTACACTCCAAGGGATTATGGGGTTGATCCGGCAGTACGGGCAACTGTCAGGTACCCGCATTACATCGGATCATAGGTACAAGTGCCCCTACGGCCATGGTACATTGGAGGTACGTGGTATAGCTTGGGGAAGCCGCTTGACATTACTAGAGGCACGCCAAGGGGCCAACGGACCATGCGAGTGGCTCTCCAAGGGCCGAGGTGGCATTACAGGAGGCCGAGGTTGGCATTACAGGAGTGTATTGGACATTACAGGAGGCCGAGGGTGTCATGACGAGAGGGGGAGCACGCCACCTATAAAAGTGGGCACCCCATAGGCTATTTGTCTCAGTTCGCCGGTGCACTCGACCTTGTCTGGACCAGGGGGCCCACCACCATTGTAATACATTGATGGACTCCCGCCATTTTTGCCTCGATCCGGTCGCCATTATCCTGGGGATTCTACAAAAAGAAAAGTTCTGTAGATGCTAAAAAATTCGAATTGTTCGGTTGCGGGGGTCGTTGCCACCGTTGGCAAGGCTCATTGTTGTGGGAAGGGTGAACAAATATGTAAGCCCCGGGCGTTTTGTGTGTGGCCTTGCGTCTAGTCGTATGCCAACGCCGTTGAAGCATCGGGCGATCATGGATTCGCACTTCCCATGTGCACTCCAAAGGGAGCCGTTTGAATTGCATCAACGGCCATTTCCTTCAAGATGGTTTCGGAGCATCAAGGCAAATTTTGGGGCAAGACGATGGTGGCCAAAGTGCAAAAGGTCCCCAAGGGTTGTTTGCAGCCGTTTGCACGTTGATTGACTCGGAATTCGGTGAGCAATCAGCTAGAGTGTCGAACGGGTGGAGTTGCAGATCTTGCAATTGAGCAAGTTCTACAATAAGCAAAGCGCGATTGAGGGATGGGAGATGGCAGCGGATAGCACATCAACATCCTTAGGATAGCTCAAGGTTGTTTGGACGGCGATTGTCCAGTCGTTCGGTGGCCATCATCCAATTCGGCGAATGGGCGCAAGTGAGAATGCCACAGTTTGACCACATCAGTGGCTTGCAAGCGACTTTTCAATGGTGTGCGACAGTGGCGAATGGGCGGCCAAACTTTTGTGAGCGGCGGGGAGCCATTTGCAAGTGAGTTTTGGCAACGGCAAGTGTGGGTCGGCGGGTCGGCATTGGATCAATATTTTGCAGTGAGGTGGTGTTTCAGTGAGGCATGGACTTTGGCGAAGGATTGCGCAATATGTGGCAGGCCAAGGAAGTTTGCAGTATGGTTTAGAGCTCTGCACGAGCTTCTCAAGACGTGGCTATGCCTGACGCTTCGAGCGAGGGCAATGCCAAGAGCTTGAAGGGGCCCGAAGCAACGGTTGGTCATAGGGGGCGGAGCTGTAGTGGCTCAGAATTCTCCCCCACTGATTGGGCCCATCAAGTACTAGAGGTCGCACTACAGGAAGTGGAAGTACAGCTACTAGAGTTGCACTTGTGTACATGTTGTGGAAACACATGGGGGTCAAGAGGATTATGGCCATTAGTCTTGGTTGGCTAGTCATCTGTGGGATTAGACCCATTATTTGGATTCTTTGTGATCTCTAGATACTCGTAGGCTCTTTACTTGTCTGAATCCCCCAGGTATGGAGTAGTTTGTGGCCGAGGGAAATCCTTGTACTTAAGGGATAGGCCGTGGGGGTGGATTGGGCCGCGATGTATCAATAGTGGGTCTGATATGGGGGTATGCCGGCGATACAGTCGTGACACATTGATGTACATTGTGTGGTGTCTGTGTGATGGGTGGCCGGACCAGAATGTGGCCGACCACCAGTACGTACATGGGGGTGCGTTGCTCCCCACTTTGTTACCCTGTTTGGCTCACTGCTGCGCTCCGCACGGGCCTCCGGCCCGGGGAGCAAGCTGCTTTGCTACCCGCTATCTTCGAATGGCAGGACCACCCAATCCCAGAGCGCAAGAGGGCCCACCATGCAAAGAACAAGCAAGCACCCCGATTACGCCCGCCGGGTTCGGCGGAGGGGCCATCGGCCCAACCGGGTACAGGCAGATGAAGTGGGACGTGCTCAAGAAAAAGGGGACCAACGGGGCTATTGGAAGGGCCCCACAATAGTACAAGGACACAAAGGTGATGGATTCGGTGGCTCTTGAGGCTGGTGAAACCGCGCAAGTGGGCCCAAGGAATTTTGATTTATGAATTTATCATAATGGGACACCTGTTTGCTTGGGGATTTCGATGGCACGATTGTTTATGAAGAAGCTTAAAAGTGGCTTGGTTGGTGTCATGATTATTGTGATGATGAATGCTTATTAGTTTGCCACTTGTTTGTTTTGACTTCATGGGAATGGGTATTGGAAGTTTGCATGTTTTCATGGGTTCTACCATACTGCAACACCAAAACTGACTACGGCTCTCAGTTCTTGGTGATGTTTCTAATAATAATGGCTCACTTTGTGATGGTTTTCCAAAGTGTGGTGCTGAGTTGATGATTTTCCAGCTAGCAAATGCCATCCTGTTTTTAAAAATATCATTTTGCTCATCATTTGCTGATGTCTCTTTCCAGCAATAAAGATCGTTATTTTCATGGGTTTTCAAATTTCAATCCATGTGTTGATGTCTCTTTCCAGCTATAGAGAGAGTCTGTTTTAATAGATTCAAAGAACATGTTGGGATGTTTCTTTCCCCAATATGAGGTTGTGTTGGTGAGTTGCCCAGCCAACCTATCCTTTGGTATTATATTCATTCCGAAATAGGGTGCCATCTCACTGAAGAGAAAGGCTACCAAGTCTGTTGCATGAGGCGGTGGGTATTAGGCCACTGTCAATTAGGCGTTAATGGGGGAGGTGTTGGGTGATAACAGTGGGAGTGGTGACAGGGGATATTTAGTGATCATGTTGTGGTGTGCCATGGGAATGTAGGTGGTGCATTGATTATTGCAAATGGTTGATGTTGACTTTTCAATACTATTTTTTGGGGTCCTCTTGTTAGAGGAAACTATGGGCCCACCAAAATTTGGAGTGTCTCATAGATGGAAACATGGGAGAGCCCATATTCACAATACCGCATAATGACCACCGTTTCATTGGGTGGATCATTTATGCATTATGGTGTGTGACTTGTATATATTTGTGCATTAC